TTATTATTATTATTATTATTATTATTATTATTATTATTATTATTATTATTATTATTATTATTATTATTATTATTATTATTATCCCCTAACCACCATGTTTTCTTCATTTCTTCTGCCACCACACCTCTGTTCCACCCATATAGCAGGCAACCTTTTGGTTTCTACCCAGGCCATATGAAGAATACTTTCCTTTTCTTCTCACCCTCACTTTTGATTTAAACAAAGAAAAAGATAAGTTGTTAGGGTAGGGATGTTACTACTTGGTTATGAAGATTTCTTGCAGCTTCATTCTCTAAAGTTTCTAAGAGGATTCTAAGAACAAAAAAAAAACACCAGCCTGCTCTCTGTTGCTTTGATAATTGTAGCATCAGAGCAGCAATGGTACCCTAGGATTAAAGAAAAAGAAAATAAATTTAGAAAGGCACCCATGTGTGTGAACATCTGGGAAAATTGAGTATGGTTGGTCAGCCAGTTATGAATGCATTGGGTGATGCAGCTGCTGTCTATCCCACATTTTTCTATCTTACCAAGAAGTAGGCTGTGGTCAATTTTGTCAAATGCCTTACTGAAGTCTAAGTATTCTACTGTATATCCACAGTATTGCCCTGATCCATTAATTTGGTCGTTTTGTCAAAGAATGCAGTAAAGTTTGTCTGGCATGATCTATTTTTGACAAAGCCATGTTGGCTTCTAGTAATAGCATTGGCTTATTTCTAAGTGTTTACAGATCACTTGCTTGATTCTCTTTTCCATGATCTTCCCAAATATTGATATCAGGCTGATTAGTCTGTAGTTTTCTGGATCCATTTTTGTCCCTTTATGAAAATTGGAACATTAGTTCCATAATCCTTTGGTAGTTCCCCGGTGATCCAGGATCTTTGAAAGATATGATACAGTGGTTTTACCAGCTACTTAAAGAACCATGGATGTAATCTGTTCCTGATGATCTGAACTCATCTAGAGTAGATAGATGTTGCCTTACCATTTTCTTGGCTATTTTGACTTATATTCCGAGTCTGTCTTTTATGGTTCTGCTTTTAGCAGGTTGGGCTATTTTTTTTTCCTTTTCCATAGAGACAGGTGCAAAAAATGAATTAAACAATCCCACTTTCTCTTTGTTACCAGTCACTTACTTGCCATTTTCTCTATTAGCGGATTGATTGTTTCCTTGACTTTTTTTCTTGATTTTTACATATTGAAATAAATTATTTTTTATTATTTTCAATTATTTGTTGAAAGTCTTAGTTCATTGTGAGTCTTGGCATTTCTGACTTGTCTTTGTAGATTCGGGCTATTTGTTGGTATTCTGCTTTAGTTGTGTGTGTCTCTTTCCAGTCATTTGTTGGTATTCTGTTTTAGTTGTGTGTGTCTCTTTCCATTCTTTTAAACTTGTCCTTTTCGTCTCTTAGTTTGTCAGAGAGTTCGTTATGCAACCATGCTGGTTTTGTCTGGAGTCTCTTATTTTTCTTCTCAGTGGTATTATGCTAGAGTGGGCTTTTATAATCTCATTTTTCAGAGTTTCCCAAGCTTTTTGAGTTGTTTTCTCCTTTAAGATTACCATCCATGGAATCCTTCCCAAGTTCTAAGTCTGTTGAAACGAGCTCTCTTAAAGTCTAAGACACTCATTTAACTTTGTTCTATTACCTGTACCTGCATTATACTGAATTCTAGGAACTCTTAAGATTTTAAGATTAAGATGTTGCTCTAGAAATTCCTAAGATTCTCACTCCTGTCTTGTTTTTTGAGGGGGAGTGGGGGTGGGGGAGAGGAAGCATACAAGGATTCTTTTAAATTTGTTATCACCATCAAAACAAGCTCCCATCATTCAATGTTATACAGCCCATATGGCTCTCACCTGATTCTTAAAATCAGATGAAGGTGGAAAGGAAGTTCATACTTAGAAAGATTTGTGTAGCTCCTGGCCTTTTCCAAACAGATCTAAGATAGCACTAAACTCACCCTTCCCTCTTGAGTTCTATGTTTGAAGCGACATTGTAGTCAGAACTGACCACAAATAATAATGGTGGTGGCTAATAAGTCCAGCCAAAAGTAACGAATCTAAGCCTTTTCCATAGATGGGGACTAAGAAATATTTCAGGCTTTGTATGTGTGGGGGGGTGGGGGGGGTGAGGGAATAACATTCCAGATTTTCTGTATGACTTAAAAATCTACAATTATCTACAGGAAACGCTATAATTTAGATATTTGCCTATTATACCGTACCTAGTGTAGCATGTATTTCCTTAAGCGAATACAATAGT